CACCACACCTTTTGAAAAAAATAGGGGCGTGCCCCGGTGTGTGATGGTCCAAATACTCATCTGATTATTCACTATGGACTCCAGGAAGAGTAGTGTAAAATTCACAAAGAGTTTGTAAATTGTCCACAATGTATTGGTTGGTGAGTGTTGAGTGTACTGTATACATGTATTTGTGTCATTTATGTGAATATGTTCTTTTTTTTTATTTACCATAGGCCATGTTGATTTGAATATATGGATGACATCTGCCGGGAGCCCCAAAACTGATGCGCGTGCGAAATAAAAAAAAAGTTTTGCAAAAAAAAAGTTAACTTTTCTATTATGAAATACTACGTGGTCATGAGGGTTGAGCAAATGACACAGAATATGGTTTGGCGAATAATCTAGTCTTCAAGTTCATTTTTTTACAATTTCGTCTTTTTTCGTTTGATTTTGGCATACGACATTGGTATAGTTTTTATTAATTTTTTTTGTAACTTATGGTATATTTTTGCTCATTTTGCAACTGTTTTGTACGATTTACAGTATGGTTGAAAACTTTTTTTTTGGGAAACGGCCGAAAATTCATGCGCGCGCGGATGTCATCCATATAATCAAATCAACATGGCCATACTAGTACTTACAATACTTAAAATAAGAGAAGTGGGCCTTCCTGGTTTGAGTGAATGAAATATTTGATACAGTCTAGTGACCGCAATCTTCAACCTTTGATTTGTGTTAGTGGATGGCAAGTGGACGCTGTGGAGCCCATGGTCAGCCTGTAGTTCATCGTGTAACAATGGGATACGCACACGCACACGGACTTGTACCACTGCAGAACATGGAGGTCGATCATGTCCAGGAGAAGACACACAGGTGAATTTCTGCAACAGCTTACCCTGTCCAGGTGGGTACTAGACAATATTGATAAAAATTTACTGCTTCATTATTGCATATATTTGTAAGTTATCAGCCCCAGGTTACTATCCCCTTTGAACTTGCATCATTTTCAAAATGGTGTTGGTAGCATTTGCTGCACAAGGTGGGCTTATTTTTAATTAGTGCCTGATGTACAGATGGTTCTGTCCTACTATAGTCATTTAACCTTACTGGCACTGACAATTGTTCATCTTTTTCTGATTTTCACTCAATTTTATCACACACGCAACCATGTAACATTACCATTCTTGGTAACATATGCATGTACATGTACAATGTAGTTTCACGTGCATGTTTGAGAAGAGCCACACCTTGAGCACACTAAAGATCTCATCATACTTACAATACTTATAATAAGAGTATTGGTCCTTCCTTTTTGATTGAGTAAAATCTTTGATACAGTCTGGTGACCGCAGTCTTGGTGTAGAGATGATAACTGGTAGACTTTCTTACCCTGCGGCTATGTGTCCACTCCCTGTGCATGTTAGTCCATGGTGGTTGGGGTCCTTGGACAGCCTGGGGAAGCTGTAGTCGTAGCTGTAACGGGGGACAGCAGAAGAGGTACAGGACGTGCAACAATCCACAGCCACAACACGGGGGCCAGTCTTGTGCTGGTCCAGCCACAGAGACAGAAGGTTGCAGTTTTGAGCCTTGTCCAGGTATAGTATTTACTAGTAAACATGCTGTCTGAACACGAGTATTTAGGAATGATCAGTACATGGCCCCCTCCCATATTATATAAAGTCAAACCTTGTTTCACACTTGTTACATTGTGACGGTATTAGTCAACTTGTGCAAAAATTGTCCGGAAGAGTGTATTGAGTAATTAGGATAATTTATTTAGACTTTGGCTGGTCTGACCATACATTGTACGCATGATTATGTAAGTCACACATATGGAGAACTCTGAACTACCAGTAATCACATTTTACTGCATTGCAAGTACTTACCTAACTTAAGTGGATTGACTTATATATATATGCCATATAGAGCACTGAATTTTTTTATCATGTACTGTAATACATGTGTATTATACTTGTGTATTATAATCTACAATGTTTATGTCACAGGAGATTCCTATCTCCCCTAGGGAAGATAGGAATTCCAATCTCCCCTAGGAGAATCCGGAATCCTCCTATAGGGGAGATAGGGATTCCAATTTCCCCTAAGAGGATTCCGGGAGACTGGAATTCAAGATTTTCTTCTACAAAACTGGAATTCCAATCTCTTCTAGGAGGATTCCAGATTCTCCTATAGGGGAGATAGGAATTCCAATTTGTCCTAGAACAAGTGGGAATTCTTACAGGACAATCTCCAATTTTTAAAGGAGAAATTCTGATTGTATCAAAATATTCAGGTAATAAGATTGGCCAAAAAAACATTTACTCAAGCAACTGGATATGATTTTGGAAACGGTCAGACATTTCACGTAGCATCCACTACCTTTCGTCAGTGACAGTAGAGACAGGAGAAAGGCTTATAAGCATGAACTATCAATCAATACATACATGTAAACCTGCCTTTCTCCTGCAAGTCTCTAGTGTCACTGACAAAAGGTAGTGGATGCTACCTGAAACATCTGTCCATTTCCAAAATCATATCCAACGTTGCTGGAGTAACTTTTTTGTAGTGCCATCTGTAAGGTTTGCTTCATTCATTGAGAAATTTCCCTGTGTTTAGTCCATGGGAAGTGGAGCCCATGGACAGAATGGAGTGAATGTTCAGCAACATGTGGTCGGGGAGAAAGGACAAGAACCCGTTCTTGTAACAAACCACAACCTCAGTATGGTGGGAACTCCTGTCTAGGGGACAGTTCACAAGTGCAAGCCTGCAGGATACGCTCATGTAGAGGTAGCAGTGCTTCATACTTTGTACCTTTGCTACTCATACAAGTGTCAGGTATTGATTATAATCAAATAGCCCATGGATTTGCTTGATACATGTATGTTGCTCCTTTGCTAATCAAGTTACTCTAAGTACAAATTGCTATAAACATGATGGAATTCTGTTAGTACTACTTTAGCACATACTTTTGGTTTTACTTTTGTACAGATGGATTTACTTTTGAGATCACCTGTAAATGGTCATATGACTTGCATTTCTCAAGGTGTACATGATGTAGCTGTTACTGTATTGTGGAAGACTTACATGTACATACATTTCTGCCCATAAGAAGGATTCTGACATCTACATGTTGTATATTTTGGAAAGGTAAACATCCTTATGTGTCTAATATTTTTATTCTGGTGACCCCCTGTCCAGGCAGACCAACACAGGCCTATGGAAGCATCATAGGCACAGTGAACAATCTGGAGTTTGGAGTCTCTACACTACATGCCAACATTACAAAAAGCAGATCAGGAAACCATAGAGTGATAGCAGTGATGACAGATATACCAGCTAATGTTGGTAAGCCTCTGTATTAAGGCATCCACTCAAAACCAGCCTAGACTCACACGTTCTTTGTAGATCCTCCCATGCCAAGTGGCATACTGGGCAGCAAGTAAGTACAAAATGTAACTGTTAATTGAAACAAAATGTGGTAATTAGATAGCATAAAATCAATACAATTTCAGTTCCTTTAGTTTTGAGGAGTCTTGGTCATTTTCTTTTCATCTTTGAAATTCCATATTACACCAGGTAGCTGTCGGTTGAGGTCAGCAGGTTTAGGTACAATGTATTTAGCCATACCCGCACATTCAATCGATAAGTCAGACGTTCGACGCCAAGAAAAGTACAACAATGTTATCAGAATAATTGGTTCAGTAGAACTGATTTCCATATCTATCTTCATTTTGCAGATTATCTTTACTAAGTATTTTGATGTAATATCTAGTTTCCAGACCAATTTTTTCTATGTAAAAGAATGAATAGAAGACCGTCGCTATCACCAGCCACGCCACCCTAACATGGTGCCCTTGCCGTGCGTCCTCTCCAGGATTTGTTGCTCTACCTTTCTCCGCTTGACTAGACATGAACAGAACACTGCATGCATCTTTATCTTTGATAATCCTAGTTTGGGAAGTATCATTAAAGTAACCTTAATGCTGTACCTTTCCACCCCAAAAATAAAGGAAACATTAAGTGGCGAATTTATGGCCCCCTCCATTAGATGTACAGAATCTTAACACATTTTCATTCCGCTGTTTACTTTTTTGGTCAACGCTATTTTAGGATTCGACGTGAAAGAGACCCCAAAGTAGAATTATCCTCCTGTCTGGTTAGATGTTCAAAGGGGTCGGAAACTTAAGGCTTCATTGTCTTTCAATGCATGGTTATCAAAGCTTTTTAACAGTGTTCTGAACACATTAGTCTCTCAAGTTTGCAATTCTGCAATTCATACAGTATCTCCTGCAATACTAAAAAAGGAGGAACAAATACATGTATGCAGGTACATGTAGGTACAAATGAAACAAGTGTCCATAGGCGACAATTCTCCGTGAAGTTTTATATTTTGCAGATTGAGAACAGTATAGTGTATGTAAACAATGTGTGATCACTTAAACAACTGGTAACAACATACTGTAAAAATGGCTAAATCCCTGGTCTAATAATCTATCCTGACTGAAAATAATAATAACAAGAATTCATAGATCTCATACCTCCATGAAATATACAAGTTTTTGTAAATGTTTTTAATTTGTGTCATTGACTATGGAAATAAGGTTGTAGATGGCATAATCTTGTTTAATCTATGGTTTACTAAATTCATATGACAATATTTTTCGTGTAGAATTCCTCTCCTTTGTCATGCTTCATTTCTACATGTCCTCATTAATTATGCAAATGACTTCTACATTAACATAATATATGCATAGCAGTGTTAAAAGTAACTTACACATGTCACAAGGTATAAAATTCCCATCATTCACCAATAAGGAGTCACAAAATTTCCACATTAATTATGCCATAAATCTGCCATAGGTTACATACATTACATGTATGAAAGTACTATATAATGTAAAACACTGTAATTATAGAATTTCCTCATTAATTATGCAAATAAAGTCTTCATTTGCATAATTTGCATTTAATTATGTACATCTCTCTCTCTCTCAGCTACCTACGTACCAAAAATGATAAAAATACGTTGTTCCTATCTGGACTTATTGGCTTTCAAAGATTTCGCCCGAAGGTCCCCTGCAGTTCCAGAGCAAGCTGCTAGGGGGACCAAACCCACACCACTTACTCCTGACAGGAAAAGGTATCTGTCACCAAAAATTCAAGACCATAGCATGTTCAGGACAAAAGATACAAAAACCGGAAGTTCTGCTGCAGTACCAAGGTCATCCACCAGGAGGCCCATATTTGACCTTGACCTTCGGCTTCCTAAGACTTACCAGCATGCCAAATATAATCACAATCCATAAAGGTGTTATGAAGTTATGCTGACTACAAATGAGCGGAAACACAGACACACACACAGATGCGCCAAAAACAATACCTCCATTTTTCATGAAGGTAACAACAGGACAATCTAAATAGATGATCAAAGTAATCTTTGATAACAATATCTTTCATTTACTGCATATTATTAATTTGACAAGGTATCACAGTAGGTGCAAACTACAATCCCAACAGATACTCGCAACCATTATGCACAACAGCCACCTAATATCTGCTTAGAGAACCTCGGCTACCAGACAACTACCTAAACCTATGGCCTATTCCACAGGATTTTAAAAGTAGGGATGTTTCTAAAATATGCATTTACTTCTATATCAAAATTGCTATGGTGAAAATAAAAAGATGTGCATCATCACGGACATAATAGCACACCACATGCCCAATTACACAGTAATACTACATACAGAACAATGCGTTTTTACTGCGAACATCTTCCAAAAACGGCCCAATACCTTATGAATGGGGACAAAACATTCTGGTACTACTTATCGACCCCTCCCAACATCTGCCTGAAGCAAAGACTCTCCCCTGAAATTCAGCATACGGGTAGCTTGGCACCAAAAAATGTACATTTTTGGCTCCTGTGCCCGCCCTATCATTAAATCGGAATGAACTGAAATTTGGTATGGGATAGCTTGGACACATGTCCAAAGAATGACATTCATTGAAAATGTGTAAAATAGGACTTTTTGGCATTTTCAGCAAAAAATGTACATTTTTGGCTCCTGTGCCCTACTGTTATGTCTGAATGGGTATAATAAAGGGTATAATGAAATCATTTTTCTTTAGTGTGGGAGACTGTGGATTTAGCAGCATAACTCTTGAAGGCATGAATCAATGTTCATGGTTTTTGGCAGGCTGGTTACCATTGGTCAAGTGCAAAAATGGGCTCTGTCACTGCTGTGGACCTTTCTCAGTCATGTCATCAATTCCCTGCACAGTTGAATGTACCGATACTTCTGATATGTAACAGTGAAACATTTACCTTTGTTTAAAGGTTCTTTGTTTTTCCAGGCTTTTGGCTAAGAAAACTTGTGTCCATCCTGACTCCTGTATATTGGACAACAGCACTGGAGGTAGGGGAGGCTGTCAATGGCTATACACTAACAAAGGGGATTTTCCAGAGAGAGACACAAGTTGAATTTCCCACAGGTATGGCTACCATAGTGTCTGTGATACATTTTAAATTTAGATAGAAATTATGTGTACATTTAGCCATTATCTGCATGGTGAGGAAAAATTATATCATTAGGCCACACTAATTTAACTTGTTGTTTATCAGTGAGATTTTTTTCAGAAAAAATTCGAGCATTGAAAAAAAATTTTTCCCAAAATCCCATGTCAAGATATAAGGCATACAGTTAAGTTTTAAGGTAAATATCAAGCTTTTGACACACATCTTCATGTCTGCCACAAAACTGTTTGCAGCTTTGCTCCTTTTCAGTTTACAGTGTTGTTACTTTTCAGGAGAAACTCTGCACATGACCCATAATGCAAGGGGTCTAGACGACAATGGTGTCCTGCAGCTGGACATTGTACTCAAGGGTGATGTGCCACACCTCTCAAGTACAGCTAATATCATCCTAAAGGACTATGTAGAAGACTATGTCCAGACAGGGCCAGGGCAGATCTATGCTTTTTCAACACGAATGTTCACTGTGGATGGCCATATGCAGGTACATTTAAGATTAGCTTCCTTAAACTGTGATTAAACCAAACTAGAGGTCGGAGATCACATGTCTTTCAGAGGTACATTGTTCTAGAGAAATGAACATGTGTATTTTTAATAATCAATTAAATGGTCTAAAGTACAAAAGAATCTCTGTACTCTTTTTTAAACTACAGAACACCCTGAAAAGGTTCGCCACAGATTTTACAGACGCACCATCACCCGTGTTAGACCCCCACCCTTCGTTATTTGATTTTGGACTGTTACTGGAAAAAAACTTACAAGAAATTCTTCTTACTGTATTATGATGGAAGTGTCACAACAGTGTCGCAAAATATAATAAGAGAAGATGTGATAAAGGAAAGAATCAGAACAGGGCGACTACTGCAGAAGACTTGTTTCTTGTTACACTGCGTTCTTTTATTCAACTTCTGTGACTTGTGTCATAACATTTGTATTTCTACAGTTAGTATATTCCAAATTCCATCTCCTTTTTCAGCCCTTCATATTTTTATTGCGCCTTCACATTAAATTTAAGGTCTCCAGTGGACGTCATCCATAGCAATTACTTGATATGGCCGTAGAAAATAACCTGTCACATGTCCAACCTATCCTCCCCCTGCTAAACTTATAGTACAATCCCTCAATGTAACGTCATTTGATCCCATCCCATTATGGGGTTCCCGGCTATATCCAGCTGTCGGCTGTCTCCAAGCAGAGGTGGTGGGGGAAGTTCTAAACACAAAAGGTCCGCTAAGTGACAACGAAACCCCCCACAAAGCCCATTAACGAACTTAACCTTGGTCCCAACAATAGTAATCTGTCTACCAAAAATTATAAGCAACATTTTACAAATACTTGAGTTATTTTGCTAACAAGCCACAAACACAAAAGGTGCACTAACATGACGCACGGACCCCCCGTGAAGCCGAAACTTACACTTGACTTCGGCCTCAACAACGGTAATCTGCCTGCCAAAAATCATGGACGTCGAATCATGCCTGCCAGAGTTATATCGCAAAATCCGCAGTTCCCACAATGCGGCGAGACAATTTCATAGTCCTTCTGACGAAGACAATTATCGTAGTTGTCTTCGTCAGAAGGACTAATAGATGAAATTGTCTCGCCGCATTGTGGGAACTGCGGATTTTGCGATATAACTCTGGCAGGCACAATTCGACGTCCATGATTTTTGTTGACACTGTAGCGGACCTTTTGTGTTTAGTACTTCCCCCACCACCTCTGCTTGGAGACAGCTGACAGCTGGATATAGCCGGGAACCCCATAATGGGATGGGATCAAATGACGTTACATTGAGGGATTGTACTATAAGTTCAGCAGGGGGAGGATAGGTTGGACATGTGACAGGTTATTTTCTACGGCCACACCAAGTAATTGCTATGGATGACGTCCACTGGAGACCTTGAAAGTGCAATAGAAATATGAAGGGCTGAAAAAGAAGATGGAATTTCGAATATACTAACTGTAGAAATACAAATGTTATGACACAAGTCACACAAGTTGAAGAAAAGAACGCAGTGTAACAAGAAACAAGTCTTCTATTCGTCATAAAGATAAATTAACAAAACAGCAGTAGTCGCCCTGTTCTGATTCTTTCATCACATCTTCTCTTATTGTATTTTGCGACACTGTCGTGACACTTTCATCATAATACAGTAAGAAGAATTTGTTTTTTTCCAGTAACAGTCCAAAATCAAATAACGTAGGGTGGGGGTCTAACACGGCTGACGGCGCGTCTGTAAAATCTGTGGCGAGCCCTTTCAGGGTGTTCTGTAGTATAAAAAAGAGTACAGAGATTCTTTTGTACTTTAGACCAAATTGATTATTAAAAAGAGAAAAGAATACACATGTTCATTTCTCTAGAACAATGTACATGTACCTCTGACGAAGACATGAGATCTCCGACCTCTAGTTATCAAATGAAGAAAGCTAACAATCTGAGTCATCCAAAGCTGATAACTACAGCCAGTCCTACAAATGTACATGGGCATGTATTGATAACATTCATTTCATGTTGAGCACGAGAAATTTGCAAAATTCACAGCACATTAAGGCCACACCAATTTAATTTCTTGGTTAACGGATTCGCCGCTTCATTTTTTTCTGATTTGCAAATAAAAATAAAAATTCAGAATCAACTGCAAAATGCTCATATTTTTCCCAGAACAGTTGAAAACAGTCCTTTTCTTACTACTTGTTACATTTATTCCATCTTTCAATGCAGTGGTATCATTAAAAGTTCAAAATTCATTGTTTAAATTTTGAACCAGCCTGGTGTGTTGACTTCATAGTTCCTATCGTACCATTTTTGGCCATAATAGGATGCCTATAGGCCTGTTTTTATTTTTTTTTCGCCCGCCCGCTCCATTATTTTCCTAGAAAAATCCGTTAACCAAGAAATTAAATTGGTGTGGCCTAAGGAGAGAATTTTCAAATGGGCCTACAATGTAGTACCCCTTCACACAAGAGATGGAATGAGCTGGAATGTCATCTGAATTTAAATTCTTTGTTTATGTCATACCTGGGCAGTGATAACGTTCGATATGGGTGTTCTGGCCAGTGTAATAACTACCCATATTGTATTGGGTTCTATTTGCTTATCACACGGGCTTCCAAATGTCCCATAAAATAAATATTGATAAGTAAATCTCCCTGGGTATGACATGAATAAAATACAACACAGTGTATTCCACCTCACTCTCAGTCCCAACCCTCTGGCAATCTGCCTATGGCTGGTACCTCAGGTGATACAGATCTAGAATACACCATGTAGTACATGTATAACGTTATACATATATTACTGGATATTTGAAGTTCATTTATATCTCTGCCCATTCTTGCAGCAAAATTTGAATTGACTTGCCTTTTCTGTTCGCCATTCAATGCAAGGAAAATGTTTTGAATGCTGTTGGAATATTTATATACTGCAGGCATTTCGTACCTAGCTATTCTTGTACCTAATCAAGTTTAAGTGTTCAGAAGTCGCTGTTCAGCTCTTGGCAATCTTCAGGAGACTTCGGTATCTATTCGTATGATTCTTTGGAATCCTCATCAGGTTGTGGGCCGAGTTTACAGTGTTTTGGTTGTATAATTCTCGGAAATCTGTCAACAAGCTGGTAGCCTACTGCATGCCTGTGTTCCAACTCAACCTTGAGTTCAGTCTGCAGTTAACAAATCTCCCCCATTCCTTTCAGCAACTCTAGACTCTCTACTCTATTCCTTTCTACAACTCTGCGTCCAAATACCTACAGACACAAAGTCAAGCACACACTCAAACACACCCTAAGCAATTCCAATTTTTGTCATTTATGTTTTGATCATTTGTCTTCCTTAACTTGTACAGCCCTACACATGGAATCACACTATACATTATGATAGTAGCCTTGGACAGATGCCCTATTTGGTGGAGAGGTTATCAGTGTCCAGTGTTGGTGTGGATTATGATCCTGATTCAGAAATACTTGACTGCAAGCTGGAGGCTTCCATATCGAAAGGTGAGTTTACACAATGTGACAGTCCTATTTTGAACTCTTCTGGGAGTTAGTAAGTTCATGATTGTTGCCCATATACATGTATGTGTAACGTTACATTGTGTAACATTACACATACATACGTGTAATGTTAGCTTGCAAATACCAGTAACATAAAATCATTTGCTTGATGTTGGCCTTGGAGAGTTAAAGACGGAATGTAACCTTAGTACAAATCTGGATTCATATCTGTCTACAGAAATGTTGAATAAACTCTTTATGGTTGGCAAGTGTAACAATTAAGAAGCTTTATAAAACCCGTGCAATAGCTTAATCAGATAGAGTGCTCACTTTGTAACTGGGAGGTCTTTTCAAACCCTGGTTGGGTGATACCAGAGACTTGAGATATGCTGCTTCTCTGCAAGCACTCAGCATTTATGAGAAAGAGTAAGGGAAGGTCAAACACACATTACCAGCGGGCTATCCCCCTGTTGGCACAACTGTATGGCCCAAGGGTTACAGAAATAGAGACGGGCACCACCCCTATGCTCTGCACAGAGTGTAATGGGACCTTTATATTTGGCCAGCTTGAAGAAGTTGGCTCCTGTGCCATAATACATCATGCATGAAAACCAAATGACCTAGAATTAGGCATGGGGAGTCTTGGACACATTCCTACAGAACTTTATTCACATATTTGGCATACACCATCTACTACTAGTATTTCATGTCAAATAAAGGAACATTTTTGGCTCCAATGTCCTCATATCACAACCAAATGACCTGAACTTTGGTATAATGGTAAATCCTTGGACACATACCCTCAGAACGATGTTGGCATGAACCACTTAAAACTGTATATATTTTTTGCTATTTTTAGACCAGAAATTTACATTTTTGGCACCTGTGCCTACTCACTATCCTGGTTTTGATTATACTGCTGCTGGTTTCCCTGTCCCAGGGGTGGCCTAATAGCAATATTAAAACCAACTAACCTGAAATTTGGGGGAGCCTTGGACATATGACCTCAAAACCTTTTTCACATACATGTATTTGGCATATACATGATTGTACTCCCTAAGAAAATCAACCCAAGGGCCTCTAGTCATGGCCTCGCTGCTTTATATATTCTAACTTGCTGTTGTTCATCTTGTTACAATAGATGAGAAGTTATCCATTAATGTGCGGGTGCAATAAACTATGTAACTTCTGGCTTCAGGGTGAGAGGGAAGTGTGATTCAAATTTCAAATATTGGTCAGTGTGTTTCCTTCCTATAGGCTTCCTAACCTTTCTAGGAAGAGTGCCATCTTCTTCTTTGTATGTGAATTGTTGTATTACCCATTGGGTAGATCTTGTTTACTTTCCAAGCAGGACTGGTGAATTATGATACAAACCAGTGGATGTTTGATTGTTGCAGGAGTTCCCAGTAACCAGTGTCCTGCAGGCTTTCAGCTAGACTCAGTTGGACCCTATTGTCGAGGTAGGCAAGGGTTCCTGGAATCCAGCAGATCTCATTTTATAAAGAACATTTAGCATTTTTAAAGAAAGTTAGCATTTTTAAAAAAGGGAAGCTGTTTGGATCAATCTTTATTTATCATTCACTGGCATTGTTGACAATTACACATTACATTGTATTAAAGAACTTTGCAATTTGAGGACATGAAAATTGTTGCTGATAAGGTCAAAAATTTTAGATGATCAAGGCATATTTCAGGTGTGTGTCAATGTTGTAACAATAGAATTAGCAGGGAAACTTTGTTCTTGTCACATACATGTAATATGACATGTCATTGACAATGAAATGTTTGCCTGGTAAAATAATGTCTTCAATCTATTTTTGTCATTTATTAATCTTGATATCTGTTGACAGGGAACTATATATCAGATCTTATTCTATATATTTTTTGTACTACTACTACTACTTTGCCATACATTGTACCATGTTCAATTGTCATGCATTAAGTTCTTCTTAAAATTATATTAATAACAGCTTTAGGCTAGAAAATGGAATTGATCTTGTCTGTACCAGGCTGGACAGAGGAGTAGGGAGCCTGTGCATAGTCACTATCTTTTTTCACAGTACACTTATTACCTCCGGGGAAGGAGATATCCTTCCGCGAGGAGGTTTTACTATGGTTCGAAACATTTCTGTCAGCAGCTGTTTCTCGCGATTGGCTGGACGGATTTGTCTGTGGTTCGGTATACGTATTGCTATTGGGCTGCAGATGATGCAGAACGTTTTTGTTTAATTGCATATGTGTTTATGGGCGTCGAAATAAAAGGTTTTTAAGTGCTCCGGACACCCCCGCCATGCTGAAAATGGTAATTACCATGTTGTTAAGGAATGGGGCG